CATTTATTGTTCATCACTTGATCATCAATGCTATTGGAACTGTAAACAAAGCCAAATAATTTATTTTATTAAATTTACAGAGCAAAAAATTGGATTGATCATATTAAAAATAAACAATATTATTAGAAATTACTTGTACAGAATCAGAAAAATATCAAACCTTTAATAAATTTCAATACATATTTATCTACAAGTGCTCACAGTTCAGTTTTGTCACTACTACAATACCATCACTTTTTGCTTTTAATTTTATTCCAATTACATACTATGAGCTGTCTTGCATTGTCTCAATGCCTCATTGAATCCTTCGCACAAAGTCAAATCAGATTGTCCTTGTGCGCATTGCAAGAATTGTTTGATTTCCCATGCGCAAGGTCCAGTAGGTTCTTGGCCTTGGTAAGCAGCAGCTTGTTGTTGCAATTGTTGAGGGGCTTGTGCAGGTGCTGCTTCACTGGAGGAACCACCAGAGAAGAGACCAGTTATACCGGCTCCTACTACATGACCCTGGGAGGAATAGAGGTTGTAGAATTTTTTTGTAGAATGGACAATTTTATATAACAGATTAGTTACATACTCCTTGTGTAATTTTGTCAACATTAGTCTTGACTTAATAATTTTGTAATATAAACATTTTGTTAATAATTTAATAAATTTTAATATTTATTAATATTATATTTATATTTTGTAGGTTCATTCACTAAAGAAGAGTCAAATTGGGACTTGAAACATATGGAAGTCTTAAAAAAAATGTTTAATAACATAATTCAGTTTTGTTTTCAATTTCTGGACATATAGGCTTTGCTTTTATGCACAAAAATAAGTGTCCAGATATTTTCAACTTGGTACCTATATGTACCAACTGTAGTAAAAGGTTCATTTGAAAAGCAAATTTGAATTTAATTTAATTCAGTGTAAAATTTGATGTATCTAACTTATACATAATAAATTGTGTATTACTGCAAGTCTGACACCATTCTTAGATTTTGTGAAAACAGTAAGAGATTTCAAATATTTCCCCCGAAGAATCTTAATTTAAGATCAAAAATCCAATATGAAATATTTAGAGAATTAACATGAAGCATTTTTTTACTTAGATTTATTATTTTTGGGGCTTCTAGCAATCTAGCAATTATGAGAACTATTAACTTACCACAGCGGATCCAACAGCGACTCCTCCAGCTGTTGCAGCCATCTGCTGGAACATAGATGGCTGTTGTTGGGCCTGCATGGGTGTAGCGGCTGCAGGTGCATGGGCTGGCGGGGCTGCTGGAGGGGCCCTTGCTGGCAAATTCGATGAGGCAGCACTGTTATGAGGTTTGGGAGAAGCGAAAGTTGAATTATTACTATTTTGTAATTAAAAATATGGACATAACGTGGGCACGCAGGTATTTGTGAGGGAAAATGAAGTATTGAAGGTAAGAAATATTTATATTAAAATTATAATCACACAAGGTTTGCATTGAGAAATTGGTAAATATGTTTTAAAATATTTCAAATATATAGTGTTAATGTTTATATCAAACAAGAAAATGATTTATAAATTAAGGAAGTTACATTGAGAAATTAGAAAATATTTATGTTTTTTATAATATTCAATAGATAAGTTTTGTTAATACAAATCATTTTAGACGCATATGTAAAGATAAATGATTTACAAATAAGAAGTATACAAAATATATATTAGCAATAAAATATATACAGTATTACCATACATATCCAAGATTATTTATTCATACAAACCAGAAGCAAACAGACAATCATTCATATCCATTCAGATGTTATAAATAATTTGCGAATAACACCAGCCAGCACACAATATGAAAATTATAAATTAATACATTAAAAGTAATAGTGACTAATAACTACAAATCAATAGCATTAATTTTATTTATATGTATATAAGGAAAATCATATAAACTTATTAAAAAGTATATTGAGAAAGTGATGTGTGACATTGCGGTAGGAATAGCTCAGTTGAATAGAATTCGAATTGTTTATTGCATAGAAATAATAAGTGAGTAGTATTTGGTAAAATAGTTAATTTAAAATTAAATAGAAATTGAATTGAGTAAAATTTGAAGAATTAGAAGTGAAAAGAAAAGCACTAGAACAATTAGAGTTGGTAAAAATCAGATTTAGTAGAAGAAAAGAACAAAGAAATCAGTTGCTAAAAGCAAAAAAAAAATGATGGTGGGTTACAAATAAAAAAACTGAAAGAATGGCTTATAAATTTATGTAAATCTACTATAATAATATTAAATCAAGAAAATCTCAATTAAATTATTGTTGTTTAATGAGAAATGTTCAATTCAAAGTTTGACCATGGCATTGCTCAATGTGATGCAATTTGCCTTCGGCCGAAAACATTGAACTCTTTGGGTAATTTTCCTTAATTAGTTTCTGAAAACAATATAAATAAATTCAAGTTTTGAGGAACTATTAATTTACGCAATACTAAATGGTTATGTAACAGTGAATTATTGACGGCATGTTAGCAACTAGAGACACATATTTTAAGGTTACAAAATATAATTAAGGATCTAACAGTGAAAAACTTACCGTCTTGGTGCTGGTGGGGGGCTAGCAGACCTTCCTCGACGGGGCATTTTGTTTTATTTTTTTTTAATAAAGAATTTCTCAAAATATATAATTTTATTGTTTGTAAAAAAATTCGATCGACTTTTTGACTTTGACACTCTTTTGTCTCTATTTGACGACTGAAGTATTGACGTACGTCGCGATGATACTAGAACGTTCTGCAGACGATAATCGCAGACGTATGTCTATTTTTAAATGTTAGTATAGCGACATCTCTGAAGTCGGAAGCGAAACAAAGCTGCCAAGTCATGGTAACGGAAATTAAAAAACGGGTTCAAAATGCAATTGTTTATACTCAAATTTTGAAATAATTATTTTATCAAATTCTGGTTTTCGTACAACGTGTGTGAATGCTACAAATATTTGGATGCAGGACTTGATAAAACGAATAAAGGAATTAATGTTTTTACGGTTAGCGTTGTTATGGCAACGCTATGTTACGCTCATTTCTTCATATAAAATGGTACTAAAAACTATTAAATGTATTTGTTGTGCGAGCAGGCGTTTTACACATAAAATTTACTTCACGTATGTGTTATAAATGCAAATATATAGCATTTTGACAGTTTTTACTACCAATTTATTTAAAGAAAATATCGTGACATACTGTTGCCATATCAACTCTATGTTGTGGTCTGTTTTATCGCAATTTTATTATTATAAATTTAACCCTTTTCACTCGCGAATTCCGAGATTTATATGAATGAATTTTGCCGCCGGAGCGGTTGCATCCGAGTCGAAAGGGTTGAATGTTATCATTTTCGTAATAAAACTATACTACTCTTTCACTGTGAAAAGTTTCACATCATCAAAAAAAATTCAACAATTAATTACGCTATTACTGTCTTGCTGATCTTTACCAAAAACTAATTACCCTGAATTCCAATTTCTTTATGAATTTTCAAAGTCGGTTCAGGATTTCTGATAAAATTGCACGCCTAATATTTTTTTTAAAGAATGACTCAGCCGATAGTCTTGCAAAACTAATCAACGCGATTTTATAGAGTCTTTAATTTTTTGAAATTTGCAAATAAGATTTTCTATCGAAAACACAAACTTGGTCAAGAAGGGTTAATAATGTTAATTATTTAATGCGTAAATAATAATCATTTATGTATGTATATCTTTTTTTTCTTAAAACAAATATCAGACAATCGATCATTTACAATCATTGCCAAAAGGCCAAATATTTGGCAATTAATCAAATACAAAGTATGCGTCATACTTTCTCGTTCGGTGTGGATCAGGTGATTTCCGAATATTCTAGACAAAATATTAATTCAATTTGCCAAACTTATTTTTCAAAGTCGGCCTAATGGGTGAACAAATATTTATTCGACGCGGGCGATGTGTACATTGAAAGTATAAACATAAGCAATGCATATATTGACAATAAAAAGATTAATAATAAAATGAGGTATTTAAATCAAATAAAAATAAAATGTTTTAAATAACCAATGTAAAATATATGCTTTGTAACTTAGCACCCATTTTAAATCAATATTAATGTATTAAATATTGTGCAGATGGAAGACAGTCAGGGATGCATTTGTTGAAAATATTGCATTTGTATAAATTTAATACAAAAAGTTAGCTTAGCAATCAAATCTTTTGGTAATTATTTATGACATCTTGCAATACAAACCGTATACCAAATTATTGAAAATACACCAAAGAGAAAAGAGCGACCAGGACTTCGCTCATCTAAAAGATAATTATAATTTCAGTGCGAGAATTCTAATATTCTAGACTCCTCCCCTACGAACTAAGCCTAACGACGGTTTCTGTAGAAACCAGGGACAAGGGAAAGCAGAGGTTTTAGTCGGTATTATACCCAGGCGGTATTGAGTCCGAAATACCCAGACAAAAGACCCAGTCTGAGATTCTTTAATGCATTTAATTCGCGATACAAAAAAACACATATCTCTCGTTTTACATGGATACGTTTCATAAAAAATCTTGTAACTTGAAACATTCACTTTTATATGAAAAAACCCGGGCTATCCAAAAATCACTATGAAAAACATTTTGTCAGTTTTAATATGATGATAACAAATCGAAAAATGAATCTCAATATATTTAATATAAAACATATTTAATAATCTTTAACAAATTAATAAATCAAATATTAAGAAAACCATGATATATATTGATAATTAAATAGTAAATAATTCAATTTATAAAATTGTTCAAGTGATATATGCAATCATAAGATTCTGATTATAAGTAAACAATAGAATAAATTTGTTATTTCAAAAGTTAAACGGTTTGAATCTTATCTTTTTGTAGGTTATTTTATGTTGGCGACAGTGGCTTATACAGACAAATCATACGCGGAAGTTGCTGTTTGACATTTGGGTTGTGTTGTTTGACGTTCATTGATCAGACAATAATTCGTAGTGTTTACAACTACATAACCTAACAATTGATAAATATTATAAATACGGCTAGTAAAAAAATATAATCAAGTGACATGTATTTTTAAATAAATTATAATAATATTAACATAATTAAAGTACAATTTCATCATGAATGCAAAATATCACTGTGATTATTGCAACATTTCGTTTAAAGATGATGGCACCAAACGAAAAACTCATTTGAATGGATTTGCACACAATCGTGCTAAGAATGAATATTTATTATTACACAGAGGCAAGTTATAAAATTATCAACATATATACAATAAATTTAGCATAATCTAATTTAGATTATATTGAATATATCCCTTGCATAATTTCCAAACTACTTTTAAAAGTGTATTTTTGTAATCATAATTAAATTTTTAAGTATCTTGTCATCCAATGTAATAAGACGATAATTGCTGTCAGGATATATAAATATCATTTTTTTATTAATTGGAATTGATTTAATTTTTGACTTTTTGTGTATTCATTGTAGCAATTTATATAAAGTCTTAGTAATTCATACAACATTTTAGAAAAGTTATTAACGGTGCCAGAAAGATAACTGAGCATCGTCAACTCTTCAAGATACTATACAATTAAAGATTATTGTTCAGTCTGACAAGGCATGTTTGTCTTTTCTTTGGGATTGGGATGATTGAAAATTTGACATGATAGTTGTATACAAAAATTAATTATAATTTCTTTTTAGAACATATATAGTTTTACGACTGAATTTTAAATAAATTTTTCATACATTTGCCTTAAACATTTCAAATTAAATTGTTCAGAGAAGATATGTTCGCTTGCATCACATAATATCATAATTATAGTTATTATATTACTATACTATAATTATCATTATTATATACTATAGATTTTTCGCTGGGCACAACTGCTAATAAATAATCATAATGTTTCTTTTTAATATACAATATTGTTAACAGTCTCTACTCATTGCTTTGTATAAACAGATCAAAGAAAATAACATTAAAATAAGTAAATAAGTAAGAATGATAATTTACTGAAATATTATTGATTTTATAATGCAATTGTAGTTTCATCAATACTGTTCTTATTATTACTTTAATATAGCATATTTAGAATGTAATTGTTAATTTAAAAACAAACCATTCAATTGTTCTTTACCATTATCTTATTGTTCTTTATTATTTTCAGATATAAGAGATATAATACAACAAGAATCAGCTAAACAACCATGTGTAAGATTTTTAAATGGTATGCATTGTAATTTTGGAGCATCTTGTAGGTTCACACATTATTCACCTCCTGAACTGGACAATTTAAGAAGAATCGGTATGTTGGGTTATTATGTTTCATTTCATTAACTTCATTTTATTTTACCTGGTTTTTGGGATTATAGAATTTCATATTTGTGACTATATTTTATTCTTTACATTATTATTTATTGGAGTTTATTGAAATCATGTATTATTTTCTTAATTTCATTCCACTATCAATTTTTGTTGATATGTTTTTCTAAATTTATCTTATATAGTCTTCTATCTATCAAATTATACTAGTTATCACTCAATAAGTCTATAAAATTATTATATTTTGATATGGAAATTTTGAATAATTCGTAGTTGAAATGTACACTTCAGTATTCAGATTATATAAACTATGATTATTCAAGATATAATATATCCAAGTAAAATAATTTTACTGGCATATTGAGTGATGAATTGATAGATTATTGAAATTCATCCACTAAAAAAAACAAAACTACAAACTTTGTTCTTTTGTATACTAAAG